CGATAGATGGATAGATGGATGGATAGATGTTTAGATATGAAGAAGGATGGATTAATTGATTCATTGATTGATTGATTGATTGGTACCTGCGGTGTGTTAAGAAGCTGCCATTAGCATGTCCAGAACCATCACAGCCCAGTGTTGGGCAGGTTGGACCTTCTGTTTTGAAGGCCTTCCAGGAGAACGGCGATCCATTCAGAAGCCCCTCCCTCTGCCTCTTTGCAGCCAGTGGACAGCCGTAGGCACTGCGGTGTGTCGCATACTTCCCACTGATGTGACCGAGACTGTCACAGCCAGGTACTGGACACCTGGACACAGGCAGAAGACAAGTCTCACTGGACAGGAAACATAAAGACACACATGTCCAAATCAAAATCAATTCATTTTAAAATATATAAATGTGATAATTTAAACAACAATGTTCTTCTTGTTACTTGTTTTAATTTAGGTTGATTATAAAACAGTATGAAAGTGAAATCCACCTTGAGTCGGGTCAATAGTTATAACAACTCCAATTTAAAAAGTCAGGACAGCGTGTAAAATGTAAATAACAACAGACCTCTATGATCTCTCAAACCCATATTTTAGTCCCAATGAAACATAGTGAACATAAAAAATTTTGAAATCAAGATACTGTTTTAAGAAAAAATAAGATAATGTTGATTTTTTTTTTAATTTTTATGGCAGCAACAAAGTTTTAAAAAGAAACAGGGACAACACGAGATTGTAAAACTGAAGTGGTACAGATAAGACACAGCTGGAGGAATATTTTGCAATCAGTTGAGTAAATTAGTCAGAGAAGTCTGAGTATAAAAATAGTATTTTAGAGAGCCGGAATTTCTCAAAAATAAAAATGAATCACAGTCTGAAATAAATAAATAAATAAACTACTGTAGGTTTTCCAGTTTTTCTCCTGCAGCTTTTCTACACCAGATGGCGCCAACAAACACACACCTGTGAACCATTCCCCTAATGAGCTGCAGGAGTATGTAAGGCAGTAGATGACTTCACTCCGACGCTGGTGCATTATCTGCCAATCTGTAGTTGTGTTCCTGGCCTTATTATTGTTCCTTGTGATTTGTGAAGACTATTATCTACTTCTTGCATGAGGTAGCTCTAACTCCTGCATTCCTCCTGTGTCTTGGACCTCCCTGGTTGCTTCATAGCCTCCCCGTGATCTCTCCAGCCATTCCTTGCCTTCTTCCACTTGCCAACCAGTATATGCACCTCTCTGGAACTTCCTCGCTCCTAGGTACTTTTGGACCTTTGCCTCAGTGACAACCTTGATTTCCAACAATAAGCGACAAACTGGATAGCAAATCATCCCAAAGGATCTAAAGCCTCATATTAACTCTTGTTCTTGCTCTTCAGGGTTCCAGTCCCTCCCTGCTGAATTACATCCTACTGTTTATTAATCACTTCCTGTAAATAAACATTTTTTAAACTTCCTCTTGTCTTGAAGCTGCTCTTTTTGGTCACTATTATCTAGGTATAGAGCTAAATGTTACAACTACATCTAAAAATAGAGAAATAATTTCAGAATAATGTCCCTGAATGAACCTTAATTGTGAAGACTTTGAAAATTGCAACATCAAAAGTACGTAAGAAGATCAACAAAGAATTTCATAAATCTGGAAGTATCTCAGTGTTTTATACTACTTCTTTTATATACTTTTCATTTTATGTGCTTTTATATGAATGTTTATTGTTGTTTGTACCTCATCTGTGTTTTTTGTTTAAAACAGGTCTAGCTTGTAAATGAATCCTCATGACTCAATGAGACTAACCTGTATAAATAAAGGTTCAATAAATAACAGACAACACTGGATGGCTTTGATATTTGGGCCCTTAGGGTCCACTGCATTAAAACTGATCTGAGTTTGTTCTGAATATCTCTACATGGACTATACACATTTCAGAACATGTACTCCCATCCAAATAATGTCTTTGTTGGGGAAGGCCTTGCATATTTCAGCAAGACAACACTACACTTCATACTGTGTCATTTACAGCAGCATAGCTTCAGAGTAGAAGAGTCCAGATGCTGATCTGACTTGGCTGCAGTCCAGATCTCTCAGCAGCTGAAAGCATTTGATGCATCATGAAGGAAAATGTACTGCTAAAAACATCCAGAACTGCTATTGTCTCAGTTCCTTGACGTTTACAGATGTTGCTAAGGCAGTAGCTTCACAGTGAGAAACATGTAGGGTTTGTGTTTCTTAGTGTCTGGCTCCATCTTGTGTTGTGTCTCTATCCTGCTCCCTTGTGTCTCATTACCTCTATTCCCCACACCTGTGAAGTTCACAGGTACTGGGTTTTAAATCTTGTTAGTGTCTGTGTTTAAGCCTGTGTGTTTGTCTTACTCCCTGTCCTGGTATTGTTAAGTGTACCCTGTGCTGACCTGTCTGCTCCCTGTGTTCTCCTGGATATTATATGTAAATTTTTGCTGCCCTGTCTGCCTTTTTGTTTTTGTAAATAAATTATTTATTTACTTATCCTCCTGAGTCCTTGACTGCCTGCCTGCACCATTGGGTTCAACCTTAAAACCACCATCTTGTGACAAAACATGGACCTGTCCCATCCTTTTTGAGATCTCTTGCTGCCATCTGATTCAAAATTTAATATTTTTTCCTACAACTTTTAGACTTGCTTAGTTTAAACATTTTGATATGTTTACTATTTTCCATTGTGAATATAGTTTGGGTCAAATAAATATTCAGATCATTCCATTTAGATTTTATTTACATTTTCCACAATGTCCCATATTGTTTAGAACAGGCTGCAGTTCAGTATTTGAAATGTTATTGTAATATAATCTGATTTTAAGTAACTTGTAGTGTGGAATAAGGTCTTCTGAGGGATTGTTTGTCCCATTCCAAATCATAATAATTGCTGGTTACTAAACCAGAAACATTGCCCTAAAAGTTTCTTGTAATTAAAGCTAGTTAGATAAGGCAGTGTTAATTACCGGTATAGCTAATGGACAACAACATTCATCTACTGCTGATCTAAATATCCATATAACAACAAGTAAGGTATCTCTAACCCGATTATCTAATAATATTGCTCACTTCAACAGCTCAGAGTCTTCTTTGTCATCCTTTGTAGGGGTTGATTTGACTCCACTTTTCTTGGCTCGAGGACATCCAGACAAACTGGCAGCAGAACAGAAAGACACAGTCAATATTTTGTCTTTAAATGATCAAATTAAATAAACTGTTCCTTCCAGCAAAGCCTAGCATTCCTTGAAAGAATGCACACCACCTGTTGAGTTTGAGAACAAAATCATCCGTTGTTGAGAAATGACAGAGTTGTAGTCGCTTTGGTCGAACCTCGTCTCATCTCGTGAGATCACATTAAAAAGATCTGTTATGAATGACTCTCGGCTATGAATACATGAAAGTGATAGTGGATCAACCAGTTTACTGGTGAGTTGTGACAGCTAAAACTATTTGTTCAAATGCAAAAGAACGTTAGGTTGATGTTCCTACTTTTACACATGAACAGCTAGTTCCGGCTGTCACCAGCATAGTGGTTGATTCACTACGAGAAGGTGCTATTTCTAAGACTGAGTTTATTACAGCTCCTCGGACTGATGAAGTCATTTGGATAAAAGATGGAATGTTTCAACAAGAAGAATCTGTCCAGAGGACCAGCCTTAACCTTGTTAGATTTATCTACTTGGATTATTGAGCATGCATCAGGATGCTTTGTTCTAACAATTTGTTAGCACCTAAAATGTGTTGGGGATCAGTCTCAGCTATTTCCATACAAGGTTTTAGGCGAATATTTGTAAAACAGACTGAGTTATAGCTGTTTTTTGTGGGTTTTGAGGTTAGTTAGCTATGTCTACCATTTTGTATTGGAATGACTCGAAATTTAATCAATATAGAAGTATGTCTGATGATTACTTTCTCTAAATTTCATTGAAAAACTATCTTGGTTTATAATATATTTTGGTAAAATACACACACAGACACAAGCAAAAACGTTATCCTTTGCCTTTTGGCAACGGGCGATAACAATAACTCCCACCTTCTGTGTGAAGCATAGTTCCCAGTTATATGTCCCGACCCATCACAGCCTGCAGTCGGACACCTAAGGTACATGTAGACAGTCTCTCAGCTTGGAATCACAAAGGTTGAGCGTTCTTAATTAAAAAATAATTAATCAGTGTTGTTTGTTTACAGTAGTAAATAAAGTCAGATAAAGTAAATTTATCTGACAAGTGTACAGTATGAAGGAGAGCGTGAACAGAGCTGTTAAAGGTGAGAGTCAGAAAAAAAACACATACTTCAGTTCAGCTGTGTGGGCAGCCATAAGGGTCCGAAGGGACTTATCAGCAAGAGGACAGCCTGAGAGACTGAAAGATCAGAAAGAGTGCATCAGAAAACCTGATCCAGAACCAAGTGTTGGACTTTCACAGAAGCGAAGAACGAAAACAGAATCAAAAGAAGACACAAGACTATCAGACCAAACAAGGGCTGATGAGAAGTATGACCTGCTGAATGAGGAGTGTTGAAAAATATCTGAATGATGACCCTGTGTGCACAGAATAGAATAGAATAGAATAGAATAGAATAGAATAGAATAGAATAGAATAGAATAGAATAGAATAGAATAGAATAGAATAGAATAGAATAGAATGTGTCTGTGATGCTATTTTCGGCATGGAACCATACTGCTGCTCACAGTCACCTCTCGTCTAAGTTTTGCTTCCACAACTCTCTCCCAGATCTTCATTGTGTGACTCATCACCTCAATCTTCCTGTAGTTTTGACAACTCTGTACATCACTCTTGTTCTTAAAAATGGATGTCAGCACACCTCCTCCATTCCTCAGGCGTTTTCTCACTCTCAAAAATGCCATTGAATATTTGAGTCAAAAACCTCACTGCCGTCTCTCCTAAACATTTCCAAATCTCCATTGGTATGTCATCCACGTCCTCCCGCCTTCCTCTTCTTCATTCTTTTCAGAGTTTTCCAAACTTCACCCTCACTAATCCTTCCAAACTTCTCATCATTCATTAGCTCCTCAAAGTACTCCTTTCATCTTCCTATCTCAGTATCCTCACTTGTTAGAGCATAACCATTCCTATCTTTAACAAGCCTAACCAGCTGCACATCCTTTCCAGCCTGATCCCTCTGTCTCGTGAATCAGTACAAGTCCTTCTCTCCCTCCTTAGTGTCCAGCCACTTGTGCAACTCATCATATGCCTTCTGTTTTGCCTTTGCTACCTCCCTCCTTGCCCTACATTGTGTCTCCTTATATTCTTGTCTCCTCTCTGAGAATTTAGGAATGACTTAGCCTGCAACTGAAAATAAGGGAGAGCAAATGGATGAAGAGTAGCGAGTTGCACAGAAGATATGGTGTTTGTGCTGCTTCTGGCTTAAATGCTAACCCAAAAGAGAGATCTTTTATATTGCAAACAGCTCCGCTTTCCAACTTAAGCTGTTCAGGACAAGCATCTGGTTCAAAACATTTTCTAAAGTATAAGATACAAGTGTACTTACTACACATTATATAATAAAATATAGTTAAAAATATTTTGTCACTTTACACAAGCATCCATCTGTTATCTGCTTTTTGTCCTATTTTGGTTTGTGGGGGTGATGGAGCTGATGTAAAGTCAAACCATTTCACCCCGACCACATAGCATTACTCAACAATGCTTAAGACACAATCACGCATTAATCACCGGGAGTGCACATGTATAAGAGCAGTCTGGTTCTGCCCCATGAAAGGAGCACATCAGAGCTGGTTCATGGAAGGCGCACCTCATCTTTATCGTTTTAACATTAGCTCCAAAGCAAATACTGTATATCAGCATTAGCGTCAAACTACTTTGTAGTATAACTTGAGTAATTACTAGTCTGATGCTAACGCTAATATCAGCATTAGAGCTAATATACTAAACATGAAAAGTTGATCACGTTTGATTGTTTCAACTCATATATTGTGCATGACAACATAGAAACTGATCCCAAATATAACTTTATTGTTACACGTTGAAACTTTTTGCTTTGACTCTTCTTGTTTCGGTCTCAATTGCAACATTTTACATCATCCCTCAGAGTGCATTGTGTTGGTAAAACTGAATCAAATTAACTTTGTATAGATTTAATAGTGCTGATTGAATGTGCATGGAAATGGATAAATGAGGGCACAGATGTGAAGTGCTTTGAGTATCCAGGCTGGATAGAAAGGAACTATTTACTATGTTTGCCTGTCATAGAGTTGCCACCCTCAGTCATACACGTCTTGACTTTTCTTTTCTCTTTCTGTCTCCGGGCATGTTACCCTCCTCCTGGTTTTCGACTAACAGTAGCAAAGTTTAGTCAACAGCATCGGTGGCAGTTTTTGTTAATCTGGGCCTCGACTGAGCAAGGTGTCGTCTGAATGGACTCACATGTTACTTTTGGCAAACGTGTTTTATAATGGATGCTTTTCCAGACACAACCTTCACTATTTACCTGGGTTTGGGCGCAGGAGATATACTGGCTTGTGCTCACTAGAGGCTGGATTGGAGTCATGCAATAAATCCATAAAAACTATGTGCAGAGGCCTGGATTACACAGCAGCTTTAAGACAGTGGGAACTTTTAATTTTCTGACTTCAGTGATTGCAATAAATTCAGGTAAAAGCTCTGGTTCAGACACAAGACAACAAATCATAATTATAATCGTAGAGATATAGTTTTTCAAAAGAACACATTAAAAACTTAAACTTGTTTTGGTAAAACTGAGATGAAAAACAGGCAAAAATGTTTAGATTTAGTCATAAAATGTATGAATTTTATGAAATTTTATATTTTTTTAATCAGCGTCATGTAATAATAGTAAATACAAGTACAACTGTTTTTTAGTTAAAAAAAAAAGCTGTGGACAAAAGAAGAACAAGCAGTATTGACCTGGTGAATAATAATTACATTCAATGATTTAGAACGTTATTAAAAAAAAAAACTTTTTGTCCAAATAGTGATTTATTCATTTTTGTTTTCTAATTTCCAGATAACTTTATTGATCAATTTATGATGTTTTTGCTGTGTGATTACCAGATTACCATTTAAATGAGCAGATTACCAGTTGAGCTTTACAAATAAACGTTTATGTCATCAAATTATCAGTTCAGTTTAGCAGTTTGCTTGTTTCATTTTTCAAACTATAAATTAAGCTCTGCAGATTACCACTTACCTGAGTTAAGCCAGAACTACAAGTCTTACCTTCGATGTGATGCATAATTTCCAGTGATGTGTCCACTGCCATCACAGCCTGGTGTGGGACATCTGAGAGAGTAACAACCAAACCCACAGATTGGTCAACGACTTTTACACCAGAAAACAAATATTTTGGATGTTACATGAGACAGAAAGTTAAAAGTCTAAACTTCTACATCACAGCTCCGCAAATCATCTCTTTTTTGTTTGCACTGACACAGATTCATAAAATTAAACTAGGTATGAATTTTTTACTATAAGCCAGCTTTGTTTGTACAATTAAACGTCTTAAAGGGAGATTTTACAAAGCCTTGTTAGACTTACACAAGAATATCTTTTTTACTGTCTTTTGGCTGAAACTTGACATTAAAGCTGCTGGTAGTAACTTCCCCGGGGTATTTTCGATCCTCCAGGTTCTCCTGATCCTCTTCCTCCCCTTCAGATGATGTATATGAAGGAGCTCTGTACTCCATCTAAACAAAAGGAAACAGTTGAGTATCGCTGAAACATTAATGGGAAAAAAATGTATTTCATGGGTAAACAATGGTTTAAAAATATGCAAACTGTTTAGCTCCTGTTGTATTTTTGTAGATATAAAAAACATCAGTGAGTGATTTCAGTACCTCTTCATGATCTTCCTCCTTGACTTCACTTGATTTGGTGAAATCCAAAGGACTGTCCCAGTCTGACTGGGTGTGGCCCTGAGACAACATGGTTCCTACATGTTGAGAGGAGGACGATGAAGAGGATGAAGGGTCTGGAGACTGCATGCCCTCTCGCTTGGTCTTCTTCATGCTGAGGTCCAAGGTGCCGTTCTCATCCACCTCAATATCTGACTCCTGCATAGACAAGGAAGACTCATCAACTGAGACATGATGCTGTCATGATGTGATGTTCCACAATGCTCTAGGGATGTTATGGAACCCCCTGATGTCTCAGATGTCTCTTTGGAACTAGTGTTTTCTGTAAATCTGTGCATGCACCTTAGAGCAGGGCTCCCTGGGTTGGGTGCTGAGTGTCTCAGGTCTCTCCCAGCAACGGGTGGATAAATTGAGGATGGCTGTTGCTGCCATGTGGGCTGCCTCTGCATCTTGGCTGTAGTCATACCCACTAGAGGACAGAGTGGGCTTAGAAAAACTTTCTGACACGCAGTGTTCGGGGGAGGCTTCCTTGGGATAAGACTTAGCTGTATGCAAGCAGACAGAGGAAACATGGCAGAAAAATATATGGACACAGTGCATCAGTTTGTATTGACATTCTGCAGGATTCTGTACCAACTTTAGATGATTCAATGAGCTCACAGATGTTTAGGCATTTGAGAAATAATGACACGTGTTGGACTGTACTTACTGTATATAGTGCCTTTCTATCTAATCTCGATACTCAAAGTTCTTTACAACACAAACTGTGCCCTCATTTACCTCCACACACATTCATACAGTTCTCTACTAGATCCAAGATAATCTAAACAGATCATTGTATAGAGACTAATCAGTGATTTAGGTCATATTCATACACTGATGGGACGCACATAGGAGTCAATGAAGGGTTCAGTGTCTTGCCCAGGGACACTTCAGCATGTGACTCCTGTTGGAATTGAACCCCCAACTCTCCCACTGGAGGATGATTGCTGTAACCACTCAGTCACAGCTGCTGATATTATTAGGCCAATAAAATCAAATAAATACAGTAAAAAGTTAAAAGCTTAACAGTCTTTGAAGATCTGCATGCCTTCCACTGCCTTTCATGCTAAAGTTTTTAGAGTTTAAAATTGTTAGATTGTTAAGATTTATAGAGATGAGGACCAACAGACGCAGACTTGCACAAGGACTGGATGTAAAATAAAAAGACTGTAATTACTGAAGCAAAAACACAAACCTGACAGGGCAGCAAAACAGGAAACAAAAGAAAACTACACAAGCATCATGCCAATGTACCCTGTCACTGAGGGTTTTGAACAGTGAATATTTTTAGTTTGAGAGGTGAGTGTTTTTCTGGACTGGAATTGAACAGAGAATGCAGAGTAAGTAAACCTGACTGTTGTTGGTACAAGATCTTCAAGTGGGTAGGAGTTAGACTGTGGAGAAGAACAGAGGGAGGGTTCTATATGGTCTGAGGCAGCGCAGAGTGATGGATCCTTGCGAGTGGAGCGAACAATTTTATCCACCACCAAACACAATGGTGGAGCCAGGGGGTGGCCAATGGTGGCCTTGGCCACCATAGATTCATCTTTTGCCACCCAGTCATTTGAAGAAAATATATTTTTAACTAAATAAAATTTAAAACACATATTTTCCTCAAATTATATGGGTAACCAATTTACCCCCCCCCC